ATCCTTTTGGTAATGGACAGTCTTTTGTCTTTCTCAGAGAAATGGTCCAAAGCTATGATAATTGAAAAATTCAGATTACCATCACAAAGCATTGAGTACCTATAATACAGCTTTAGTTAAATCTTAGTGTATAGACTTACTAAGCTGTAATGCAAGCCACCTAAATGAGTTTCTAAGAGAACAGCCATGCTCACACTATTATGGCTATTCTTTCCCCACAAGTAGCAATCTATATTAGAAATGAAATTCTCCTTGGCATGGAGAACTGTGAATAATACAGCTTTAAAAAGAGAAGTTCTATTATTACAGTGAATGTCCAGCTGCTCTTTTATTTTATTTTTCCTCAATATGGGGCATGCTATGACTTTTAAAAAATCCTATAAAACCATTAAGAAAAAAAGGTTCCCAATTACTTATATTGAATTATTTAAGATGAACCCAGTGGACAAAAGATTCTGCCAGTGAGAAACAGCATTATTGTTACTAGGGAGTAAAGTTTAGAGAATGGTGCCAACGATTTGTTTTCCTGCAGTGGGAGAGCTGTTTATCTTTAAATTAAAAACTCATCATTATCTTGGCAAAGCAGATCTAAGCAACATATGGAGGGAAATTCACTCTGGGAACAAGTCAGCCTTTGCAAATGAACGCTGAAAAGGAAGCTGTACGGTTGTGGTCTAGAGTTGGCCTCAAATGCCAGTCTTTCACCAGTGTGTGACTAAGGTAGATACCACCACTTGCTCACCATTTTCTTATGGAGAAGAAATAGGTTATAATATATGGAAGTGCTTATGTACCAGGGAATACTTCAACATGTTAATTCCTAAGTTTAATAAATGTTTCCTTCAAAATTATTTTAAAAATTCACTTGCAAAGCTCAGTCTTTAAATAATTAATGAAAAGTTTGGAGAGAGAAGTAAAACTCACTGTGCTAAGTCCAAATCACTTATTTCCTAGTTGTGAATGGAATCCATTGTTAATGTGATACAACTTCATTGTTCATATTGGTTTAATGTCCCCCACTCATCATATACCCAACTTCAGCACAGAAATAAAGTTGCTTTGAGTACAGAAAATAATTGAGAAAAATGCATTTTTTTATTTGAAAAGTGTGCAGAAACAATCATTGAATACAATTCGTAACCAGAGTATTCAAACCCAGACACCATGAAATCATTGGATGCTATGATTTCTGAAGCCACTAGAACTTTGGTACAACAAAATAATGACCTAACAGTGTGCATCAGGAACCACCGTCTACTAATGGGAATATAGATTAAAAAAAATCCATGTTTATAGTTTTAAGTTACATTCATAGCACTAGGCAAAACAGGTGTGTGTAGGAGACAGACAAAATAATCAAACGTGCTTGGCCTAAAAATAAGGATAATATTACTTGAAGGAAAACTGTTGGGATACAATGAAGCACTTCAGTATTATATTAAACATTGTCTACTTTTAACACACTAAAGCAGGATAATTTTTAAAAAAATAATTTCAGATACAATCAGTATCTCTTACAAGGCTATGGACACAGAAAGAAGTCCTATTTGTACATGGGAGATTTTGACCAATTTGTAATATACTACCTAGAATGTCATTGGTTTCCTTAGAAGAAATACAAGATGACATACATATTTTATCAATAGCGAGATGTAATAAACATTTTCAATCAAATACAATGGCTTGAAGTTGCCTGCCCATTTGTAATTTCCAATACCTGTACTGTACAAAAATTAGTGTGTTTTCCCTGCTCTGATACCTTTTTACATGACAAGCAGTTTAAATTACAACTGCGGTTTTTTTAAAATTAGATTTCAGTTTGTAAATAGTGTCTATTTACGAAATGGAACATAATTTACAAACCTCTTTCTTACACATTTCTCCTTTGAGCCAGACATGAACCTGTGAGACACATATAAACACATACAGGGTTTATAAGCTCTATGTGAGGATAAGTCACTAAGATCTCATGGTCCCCAAGTTGTTCTTTCTGGCCACTTTCCTTTCTACAATACTAGGTCTTTTCTCAAAGAGCATTTGAAAAATAAATCGCCTGGGAAGAGAATAAAGATAAATATATGTTACTACTTTTCTGGGAACAGAAACGATTTTGATGTGCCAACAGACATAAAAACAGAGGCCACTGATTAAATAAGAGATCTATTAGGTTAAGGTCAGGCATGCTTGCTCCTACAGAATTTGCTAATAATCCTGTAGACAAAGTCAGCTGAGGGATGTAAGCCATTACTTCCACAACCTGCTGAAAAGGATCAAGGGAACCCATTCAATGAAAAGATTATTTCTTTGTATATTTTTTTTTCTCAGAAGATGACAAAATAGTTCTACTATTTTGGTACTAATGTTTTTGCTCGTTTGTTAGTGATATTCTCTCGATATAGGAAATGAGAAAACGTCTCAACTATAGACTGTTGATACAAGGAACTCTGCAGGAAAGCAGCTTTGTGATAGCATTCCCTGAAAAACTAATCAAAGTGCTTAGAATTTATGATATTTTCATAAATATAATTTATGGAACAATTAGATTTATATGCAGTAAACAAAATGTCTCTAAGTGTCCCAAATTTTTATGCTAATGAAGAAATGTTTTTGTTCAGATATTTGTACTAGTTTAGTTCTAAGGGCATAAACCTCTACTTGGTAGAAGAAAATGAATACATATTTTCTCTGAATCTGGTTACAAAAAAATTATCTGTTACTAGGTCTTTCTTTATTCGGACTCAAAATCAACCTTCAGAGTATGACCTTCTCCAGGTTCTGCGTATTTGAGAGAACAATTTAAATATCTTTTAACTCTAATTCTCTTTAAAATAGTTCTTGCTCAACAATATCATTGTAGTTGGGTCTCCACCCAGAAATTCAAGGCAATAAATTTATAAAATTCTCTATATATCTAACCACAAATTGTATCAGTTCTACTTTATGAGACAAGTAGCTTTGTGGATTTATAAAGCATTGAAATGACACTCATCTCAGATAATAGGCTATATCCATTTTCATGTATAAGAACTCAGCACCTTTCCCAGAAATAAGCTGACATCATCTTGGTCAAAGATCAAGAAGAAAATATAGTTTATGGTGAATTCTCAAACAACTTTTGCAAATAGAGGCAGCATCTTGGCATCTTAAAAAATGATAAAGCTTTCTCTAAAATATGCAAATACACTAGACTTCTTTTAATGTCTTAAAGCTTGGTTGTAGAGAGGCAAAGACAACTATTCTATCACTTTGGCAAATACCAGCTCTCAGATCTTCTTTATAAACAGTTGTTATATATCTTAGGAAACCAAAGACTTGGAATATTATTTCTTTATAGTTGAGTGTTATAGATCCAAAATCCTTTATGAATGAGGATTTTTCCCTCAAATGTTTGCTGTAATACTACATAATAAGGAAAGAATATGTGCCTTTTTTTAAGTGAAGAGAGATGCAGAACAATGAACAACCTGTTTCATGAACACAAGGTTATATACTATTCTTAACTAACCACTGTACCAATTGCACAATATTGCTTCTCTTTCTAACTGCTGCACTCACTCCACTGGTGAAGAGATATACAGGCTTCATCAAATTTGTTGATTCCCAGTGTACTCAATTTACAGCTTAAAGAATGTCTTATTGTGACTATTAAATTATTTTTAATGTAGTCATGTCCTTCTCTATGGTCAAGCTTCTCTTTCTCACAAAGGGGACAAGAAAGAGCTGATTAAAACTCTTGCCTATACAAGTTGGCAAAGAACAATTTATAGTAGAAGCATGACAAACACACCTATCTGGTTAAAAATAACAGAAAAAATATTTACTTTAGAAATTGCTGGTTTTAAATATTTTGCAGGGTGATAGTTGATAATATGAAAATGATAGCAAATTGGATAAAGTGGTAATTTGCAAGAGTTTTGTTTGTTTGTTTGTTTTGAGACAGAGTCTCACTCTGTCACCAGGCTGGAGTCCAGTGGTGAGATCTCAGCTCACTGCAACCTCTGCCTCCTGGGTTCAAGTAATTCTCCTGCCTCAGTCTCTCAAGTAGCTGGAATTGCAGGTGCCCACCACCACACCCGGTTAATTTTTTGTATTTTTAGTAGACACAGAGTTTCGCCATGTTGGCCAGGCTGATCTCGAACTCCTGCACTCAAGCGATCCACCCACCTCAGCCTTCCAAAGTGCTGGCATTATAGGCATGAGCCACCGCGCCTGGCCAAGAATTTTAAAACTCTTACGGAGAGACCCACAGGCTCAACTCATGGCATTTAGTAGTTTCTCTGTCAACCCTTGACCTCTTGTCATCATCAGACCAAGACAAATGTGTTCTCAGGACGATTTTTGAGACATTTTTTCAAAGGATCTTTCTTTTTCTACCCTAAAAGGTAAGCTTGTACCTAATCACAGCTAACAGTTTCAGGTGATGCCAACTCCATAAGAAGTAAGCAAGGAGACAAAGAGAAGGTGGTTATGCTCTCCAGATTCCAATAAAGTCTTTGAATCTCTTGCTGATAATATCAGAAGATCTTTAGCTGTGATAGTGTCTCTGTGAGGGCTTCCTATGTTATAACTTCATAGGAAATGAGCTATGTATGTGGTTGGGGACAAATTTGGTCACAGAGGTATCTGAGGCACTGAGTTAGAGCAAAGTAAACATCAAACCAGTGTAAATACTCCAGAAATGATTTCTATATCAGAAAGGAGTTTCATGTACATTTTAAACATTTCTCCTACATACAATATGTTTTACTAAAGCATTGGGAGATACTTAGTAACAGGATACATGTTGGCTAAAAATACATACTGTTATGGGGTAAAGAGCATACGGAAATCTTTAAAGTAGTCTGTATACTTTATGGCACCAGATCAATTTGAAATTGTAAAATGAATTATACAAAAATATTAATCATGAAATAATGAGAGAAGGAATTTCTAATAATGATTACATAAAATATGGGGTCAGATGTCAAACTTTATGGAGAAAAATTTTTTTTACATCAAGCATTTATTTATAAATAGATTTAAATCAGTTTGTCACTTTTCATTCCTCTTGAAATTATCCAATGATTGTTATTTTTACAGAAATAGTTCCGTAATTATGGGCATCATCAGCCTCTGCTTCATGCTACAGCGATCAGATAATGATCTTAAAACAGTCCCTGAAAAAAACACTCATTAAATAACTGACAATGACAGAATCTTAGCATAAGTAAATCAATCATGTAATTGAAAATGAATAGAAAAAAAGAGACATATCAAAATAGAATACTTCTGGGGTTTTATAAAGGCTTCACATTCCCTATTAAGGAAATGCAGGGGACATTCCAATTCAAATCCAAAGAAGAAATTGATAATAATGACCACAGAAGTGCACCAAATTTTGCCACAGCAATGGCAATATCACTTGCTTCTGCTCACTTTCCTTCCAGAAGAAACATCTTAAATGTTAGTTTTCTATCTTCATGGCACAGGCATTGAAATAACGAAGAGCATCCCAGAGGAAACACCATGAGAGGGAATATCCAACCACGATCCATCTTAGGACCTGCCATGATGCTGCAGAAATCAGAGGAGCTGGGCAGTTAATGCTGAGAATTTCACTGGGGGCTAATAGCATAAAAGCTTCCAAATTATTCATATTTGGATTCATGGCACATTTATGTGTCTAGTCCATCATAAGAATATTATAAAGAGACATTTCCTTGGATCTGTCTGTGTTTCTGAAACTGATTCAATACCAGACAGAAGTTGGTAGAGGGAAGCTAAATAACGGATTGGGAGTGTTAGGGTCTTCAATGTGTATAACAAAAAAATGTGCACATAGTATGAAAAAAATAGGTTTGACTGGAAAAAAATTATAGGATGAGGAAACAGCCAGTCAAAAAATCATATGCTCATAATTAAAAAAAATGAAAATACATTGTCTCTGTTATTGGTAAAATTGACTGAAATAAATAATATTTGATAGGAATGGCTTGTATTTATCAGAAACGAAGATCAAAAATTAATGTAATGTTAGATTAGGCACAAGGACAGACTAGGCCAATGTAGGCCAATGAAAAACAACTTTGTTATTATTTCTTAGAAAGAAAAGGCAGATTTACATTAAAAAATACTGACCAATTTTTTGGTAAGATAAGATATAGGCCCTTCCTCACCCAACCCCACAAATACGGCTCAACTATAGGTGTTTTTGCATTTGGCAAAATAAAATCATATTATAATACAGAATGAGGTATTATCATTTTTTATGTGATTAATGACATGAAAATTCAGAGTGACCATAGAATTGATCCACCATTGTTCCAAAGTTACTGATCAACAAAATAACACTCCTGCATTTCTGCAATTGGTTGAAAGCCAGGAATGGGTGGAGTTTGGAGGGAAGAAATGTGATTTAGAGTTTCTAGTGCTTTTGTAAACTAAAAGGAAACCCGCAATAACTGTCACTTTTTGTTTCATATCACCAGCATATTTCATCTAAAAAAATTCAGGGCTAGTTTTCCTTGACTGCATTTTAAAAGAGATTTAATAAACCATAACTGTTAATTTCTCCTTTTATTATCAACATGTACTAAGAAAAAATGAAATGTGAACCTGAACACCAAATTGATTTCTAAAATTTTGTTTGAAATGGAAACCTCTGAAGTTCTCTTAACCCCAACTGATAACGTCAGCTCCTAATAGGCTTGAGTGAAATTTGGCTAAGTAACCCTTCCAGATATCTTTAACAGATACAATTAATTTAAGCTGTACAAATGCCAATCTCTCATACTTTCATTTTTTTCCAGGGTATTTGTCTTGTACTTTGTCATTTACAGTCCTGTTCTTGTCGATGTGCTATTTATTAAGAATATAAAGATGGCATTATGACACTATCTCCTGCATTTTAGAAGTGTGACATTTACCTATTTGTAACCTTATCAGTAATTTAGTCATTCTAGTACAGCTTTTTGGGTGTACATAGTAATGTCATTCATAATGAGCCAAATAGAATTCTTCATTGTGTATCCATTTTTAGCTAGTACATTTTCCCTAACGCAAATCTAAAATTATCCATCTGATTCAATATAATAAGTAAATCTAATCTTTTGAAAATCTTCTTCCTGTGTTCTCCCTTAATAGCCCACCCTTCGATGTGACAGGTAACTTGTCCTGATTTAAAACTCACTGATAGTTCTTTTATATTGTCTTATTTACTCATTTTCTCTATAAGAAAAATAAATTGAATATCCATAATAATGAAACCACGTTGGGAAATCTTTCATCTTGTCTGAAAGGGCCTCAGGGATAACTAGTCAATTCTTTTGAACACTGTTGACTATTCTGGTTTCTTAGATTTTCTGGCAGAAAAAGAAAGACATGCCATTGTGTATTGTTTACTCAACAACAGTTGTGTGGTTTGTCATTGTTTTTAAAGGTCATATTTCGGTGGGGTTCTTGACGCTCAGTTTCCATGTGGAGTCTAGCAGGCACATTTCTTCTCTGGTGGCTTTTCCCCATCCAGCTTTCCAGAACTTCCACCATTGACAGCATCGGGGATTTGTGTCTTCTCCACACACTGGTCCATTCGCTTCATGATTAAGTCCAAAAGGGTTTCTACAGCTTTCTCCACATTCTGTCCAGTTGCTGCACTTGTTTCAAAATACGGTATGCTAGCACAGAAAGGATGGCAAATGTTTTTTGAGAGGAAGAAATCAGAACAGATACAGCAAGATGTACAAGTGAATCACACATGCAAAAACGGCTGGCTGAGAGACCGTGAAATAATTATGTTTTCTAGTATGGTTAACTTAACCAGTTTTATGGGCAAGGAAATTGATACAAGAGGTAGTCAGGAAGTTGAAGCCAAAGCATTATCACTGTTTAAAAAAATTAGGAGGAGAAAAATACCCCATGATCAATAAAACTACCAATCAACATTACCATTAAAATACTGCCTCCCTTCCACTCGATTATCTGGAAATCTGCTTTTGAAAATAGGCATGCATTGACCAGGCACGGTGGCTCATGCCTGTGATTCCAGCACTTTGTTAGGCCAAGGTGGGCGGATCATGAGGTCAGGAGATCGAGGCCATCCTGGCCGTGGTGAAACCCCATCTCTACTAAAATACAAAAAATCAGCCGAGTGTGGTGGCATGCACCTGTAGTCCCAGCTACTCAGGAGGCTGAGGCAGGGGAATAGCTTGAATCCAGGAGATGGTGTTTGCAGTGAGCTGAGATCATGCCACTGCACTCCCAGCCTGGTGAAAGAGCAAGACTCTGTCTCAAAAA